GCTCCCTAGAATTCTCATGCCTGACAGAGTAAGACTTGTACTAGAGCGTTCCAGGAGGGTCCGAAGCCCCTCGGGGTTTTTACAAGGTGATGGGGGTTATTGTTCTTATCTGATGGTTTTTAACTTTGTCCCCAGGTCCTGGAGGTGTATCAGGAGCCTCTGTGGGGAGTAAGGATGGGCCACATGGCCAGACTCCGGGCCTGCCCACAGGTGTACCTACCTGTTGTCAGAGACGCTCTGTAAAAGAGCTTCACATCTAAAAACGTAATATATGTTTTTTAGTTATCTTGGAGCAGAGGTCAATGCAACTGTGGACATCACTCTTGCAAACAAAGATTATAAAGGGGGCCAGAGATGATGAGAAACTTATTTTTTTATTTGAGGAAAGGACACTTGTGATGGGAGAAATGATGGGAGCGAATGCTGTCTGTTTTAAGTGACCTCTGATTCCAGCAGGGCGATCTGCTCAGGCCGGTCCCAGCCCGGCGCCCTCAGTGGGGCAGAAGTCACCCAGGATCACCCCTCCGGTGGCAAAGTCGGGCTCTCCCCAGGTACGTTTAACCTCAGCTCACAGCACTGTGCTTATTAGTTTACTGCCCCAAACACACACATTTATAGAATGGTTTTTTATGTCTTAGAATTTACATTATGTGATAGGAAATCCATGACCTTCAAGTATTTGTAATGTGTGCTCATAAAAGTCATTTATCCCGACTCCAGAGTCGGAATTGTCTTCTCTGCTGGTCCCTGAGCTTACCTGTACTATGCTGTCGGTTTGTTATGTCCTCTTTATGTCTGAAAATATGTAGCATCTGATGTTTTTCTTTTATTCCCAAAGTAATTAAGACATCTCTTCAGTGCCCTTTTTCTCTGCTATTCCAGTTTTACTTATTTAACTTTTTATTGACATGTAATGCACACAGAGGAAAAGGTATACAAGCAATAGATAACAAATGCGCTTCAGTGAACTGTCACCAGCCGAACATACCTTGGTAACCAACACTGGGATCAAGAAATAAAACATTACCGGGACCCCAGAATTACCCTCGCATGTGCCCATCCCCCCTGCCAAAGGAGACTCGCTCTCGTGATTTCTAACGGCACAGCTTGGTTTAGCCTGTTTGTACCTTCTATAAAGGGAATCACACGGTGTGTATTTCCATATCTGGCTTTTTTGCTCAACATTATGTGTGCGAAGTTTATCCGTATCATATTGGGTGACCGTACTACAGGTATTCGTTCCACCCTTGCTGGGCATTTGAGTAGTTTCCAGATGTAAGTTCCTATGGATAGTACTGCTGTGACCGTGCTGATCGACATCTTTGGGTGAACGTGTATGCGTTTCTGTTGGGCATGTACATCGGAGTGGAATTGCTGGGTCATAGACTCTGCATTAATTCTCTTTAGTCCCTTCCCGCAATGTTCCTGTGGATAGTACTGCTGTGACCGTGCTGATCGACATATTGGGTGAACATGTATGCGTTTCTGTTGGACGTGTACATCGGAGTGGAATTGCTGGGTCATAGACTCTGCATTAATTCTCTTTAGTCCCTTCCCACAAGGGGTGTAAGAGTTCAGCTGCCCCACATCCTCACCAATCTTGGTTTATTATTGTATTTTGTGGTTTTAATTAGTATTTCCCTGATAAACAGTAAAATTGAGCTTTTTTTTTTCCATACGATTATTGGTCACATGGATATCTTCCTTTGTGGGATGTTCAGTATTTTACCCATTTTCCTATTGGGTTGTCTGTCTGTTTCTTATTGATTTATGAGTTAGTTCCTTCTTGGGCACATACAAATGCGCACATATTAAGCACGTTCTTTCTCACTCCTTAAGTTGCCGTTTCGTTTTCATTTTGTGGTTTCTTGATGACTACAAGTTCCTTATTTTAATGTAGTTCAATATATGGGGTTTTTTTTTATAATTAGTGCTTTTTGTCGTTTTTAGAAATGATTTCCTATTCTAGGGTCAAAAAGATATTTTTCTATGTTTTTTTAAAAGCTTTATTATTTTACTTTTCCTATTTAGAAATGCAGTTTTTCATCCCAGTTTATTTTTAGGTTTAACTTGAAAAGGATTTTGTGTCAGTTTCCCACCTGATTACTTGAGCGCCCTCAGGATAGGAGTCTTGGGTTTTCCATCTGTCTCCTTCCATCAACCCCCTCCTGCCTCCAGCACACAAGGTGGGGCACACAGTAACTACTCAGTCTATAGGTCTGGCTTTTGGCATAATGCATGGCACGTGCTATTTAAATATTTGCTGTTTTAACGAATGCCGATACAGTCTAAAAACTCCATTTTATATGTTAGTTGCTGTAGCTTATCAAAGAACCTAAAAGCCAACTCAAATTATATCTCTAAAGCACAAGTCTCGATTTCTGTCTCCCCCAGAACCAATTCCTTTCTTAGGTTCCCATCTCAGTGAATAGCACAACCTAGGTAGTCTGCTCTGCCCCGAACCCCGAAGTCCCTCCCCGCAGTCCATACTCGTGGGTCTCACATCAGCTCCACCCTGATGCAGTGCGTGTCATAAACCCATGTCTCCGGCTCCCCTGTTAACATCATAGTTGAGGCCATTATCTCTTACCTGGTCAGCCTCCTGACTAGTCTGTCTGCCTCTCACTGTCATCTGTGCTCTATTTAGCAGCGAGAGGGGTCTTTAGAAATCATAAATCAGAGTAGTTTAAACTCTCCTAAAACGCCACTAGTAGCTTTCAGCGCATAGAATCAAACCCAGGCTCCTTGGTGTAGCCTTACGCGGCCCGGCTCGCCCGCCTCTGGCCTCCCCCGACCTCCTTGTTTCCACATCTGCGTTTTCTCTCTCCTCGAAGATGCCAGAGCCTTTCCTGCCTCACATTCTTGGCACGTGGCCCTTGTCGTTGCCTGGAAGGTGATCCCCGAGACCTTTCCATAGCTTTTTCCCTGACTTTAGTCTCAGTTTAGAGGCAGCGCTCAGCGAGGGGTTTCTGGGCCATCTCATCTCAAGTAGTGCCGCTTTTACCCTCTTTATTTGTCCCTGTTTACTTTTTTCATATCACTTATCTCCAGCTGACATGATCGGATTCGTTCGCTTTTTATTTGTCTAATCGCAGCAGAAGTTCAGTTCCGTGAGAGTGAGGACCACATGGATCTTGTTCACCTCTCTCTCCACTGTCTGAACATGTCTTTATCCCAGTGTCTACCCAGTAAATGCAGCTTCGGAAGAATGAACGATGGGACAATGACCGTCTTATGAGAGTGACACTCCCTGTGATAGACGTTGTACCGCTGCTTCAGGAAGCCAAAACTTGGGGCAGGGGATCTATTTTTTAATCTTTTGCCTTCCGTTTCAGGCAAAATCACTTCAGCCTCCTGTTACAGAAAAGCAGGGACATCAGTGGAAAGAGTCAGATCCTGTGATGGCTGGAATTGGGGAGGAGGTAAATTCGTCCCTGCAGATTATTTCCAGGAGTAGTCTGACAGATGCGAATGCTCTGAGTGCAGACTCCTCTGTGACTGTTTCGTTCTGACATTGAACCTTGGCGCGTCCTAAGAGTCTGTGCTGTTAGCGAGCCCAGTAGCAGTGACGTTCCTCGTGCCGTTCAGACTGATGTTACAGATCGTTTGTGGCTTACAGATCACACACTTCCAGAAGGAGCTAGAAGAGCTGAAAGCCCGAACTTCGAAAGCCTGTTTCCAAGTGGGCACTCCTGAGGAGATGAAGATGCTGCGGACAGAATCGGATGACCTGCACACTTTTCTGTTGGAGATTAAAGAGACCACAGAGGTTTGCGCTTATCGATAGAGTTCCGAAGTTGAATTGCACTTGAAAAATTTTTTCTCCTAGCGCTCCATGGGAGTCTATACTTTTTCTCTTCGGGGACCATCAGCGTTGTTTTTTACGCAGCTGACTAGGTCACTCGGGGATGTCTTAAGTTCAAATCCTACCTTTAGCACTTAACATTAAGTTCTGTGACTTTGGGCAAGTTAATCTAGCTCCTCTTCTACATTTTAGTTTTCTCATGGAACATGGAACAATAGTAGTTCATTGACACGTACAAGGCACGTCATAAAAATTTACCATTATAGTCATTAGTTTAGGTATGTTTGAAAATATACTTTGGTAGTAAGTTGTTAGGTTTTAAAAAAAAGAACACTTAAGAGCATGTAGAATATAAAAATATCAAATAGTTGTTAGTAGTGTTATTTGTTGTGTTATTACTGCTTACTGTGTGCCAGAGACCGGGCTAAACGCTTCACCTGCATTATCCTCAAATCCTCACCACTGTCCTGTGTGGTAGGTATTGTTGTTATTCTTCCTGTTTTGCAAGTCGGGAAGCCGAGGCTTAGGTGAAATAATGTGCCCAGGGCCACCCAGTTACTGAGTGCCAGCTCCAGGATCCCAGTTCTAACTGACTGACTCCAGAGCTCTGGTCTTAAATGTCACGCCTGAGGGAGGACAGTTCTCCAGGTGTTAGCAGGATCGTCTTCCGGTGGCGGGATTGCAGATACTGTTAATACTGTTCTTGTTTTCTGGGTTTCTGATTGTTAGAATATGTTTTATCATGAGAAAGAAAAATAATTTTTAAAAATGAACATTGGTAGACTAAAAAAGGAAAAAAATTAAAAATAATAATGAGAAGATAAAAACGAGCATTGGCATCTTTCTTTCTAAGCAGTGAAATTCTTTTCTGCTTGACTGTTAACTACTCAGATACCCATCATGTGAACTGTTTGGGAATCACTGCCTTCTTTGATCCAGACAGAAAGGTTTTTACCTTAGAAATACCACTCGTTGTATCAACACAGTCTTATACCTTTTCTAGTCTCTTCATGGAGATATAAGCACCCTGAAAACAACTTTGCTTGAGGGCTTTGCTGGTGTGGAAGAAGCCAGAGAACAAAACGAGAGGAACCGCGACTCTGCGTATCTCCACCTGCTCTACAGGAGACCCCTGGACCCCAGGAGCGAAGCTCGACTCCAGGTGGGAGGGGCCAGTCGGAGCGCGCTGTCCGGCAGACCCCCTGTGTCCCCTTTCTGCGTGCGGGTTTGGGTGACGCCTCTGTGACGGTGCTCATTTCCTGTAATTTACCCACTTTCCATAGACTTCCTGCACTGCGACAGAGAAAAGGGTGCTTTCCACACAGTGTTCTTTGGATTAAACAAAAACAGAGTTCTCAAGTAAACCTTAGGCTTGGTAGAAAGTACACTTTGAAAAAGATGTATTTAGAAATCAGACCGTGGCTAATGATCATTAAAGTAGCAATTGTTCAGCGAGCACTAGGTCCTCCGCTAGTAGTTTTTACACATTATTTCTAGTCTTCAAAACCAACTGCTCTGCCAGATGAGAGTGGTTGGTCCCACTGTACAGGTTAAGGAAGTTGAGCCTCATGCGCTAAGGAGCTTGCCCGAGGTACTGTTGCTAGTAGGAGTGGAACCAGAATCCAGACTTCCACCTGCCTGGATTCTTTCCTGTGCGCCATGATTTAGCAAAGTTCTTTTTTTCCTCATTAATTGTCAGTTCTTCTTCTTTCTCTGTCTTCATTAAATCTGGTTTTTGTTTTCATCTTTCGATTTATTCCAAAGTGTTGTATCACAAGTTTTGATGGGGGACATCTCCATGTCCTTGCATTTGGCTAGAATCCCAGTAGGAAGCGGGCACAGGTGGCAGCACTGATCCCCCTCACCCGGGACGTGGGGGTCTGAGTGTGATGAATCCTCTCTGTCCAGCAAACTCGCCATTTCCATCCACACTGTTAAACTTACTGACAGTAGGAAAATGGCCCAGTCCCTTCTCCCGGAAAGGCGGAGGCCTCCCTGCTGCGTCCCACCCGCTGGTGCTCCGAGCTGCTTTCTCCCGCCGTGAGAGTTAATGCCCTTAGCAAGACAGTGCTCACCCCTTGCCTACCACTCATCAAGTCATGGGCCTCCGTGCTGCATCGGTTAACACTTTCCTACATGCCTTTTCGCCTCTTGCTCTGTATCCAAACTTAAAGAAAAGCATACAGCGCTTTTGGGGGACACTTGCCCCATTCAGAAAGAAATTATTTCTTTTTTAGTAAGAGCTAGCATGTATCAAGTGCATGCCAGGTACAAAAGAAAGATACCAGAACTACCCAAGTCTCACCACTAAGAGATGCTGGACCCTGAGCCTGGGCAGTCTGGCTCAGAGCATGTGCCTTTAACTGCTCCGCTGCACGTGCAGTCCCTACAAGTGACGGAAAGATGAACGTATAAATACAGTGTGGAATATGTTGCTCTAGGATTGCAGATGGGGACGCAGCTAAGCCACAAAAAAGGACTTGCCGTAGGCCTTAAAAGTTGTTTTTTTCTGATGGACAAAGTCAGGAGAGAATTCGGGAGAAACAGCATCAGCTCATGTCCAGGGTATGATCACATTTGAAGGGTTCAAAGTCAGGGCCTCCCCGTAATCAGGTATTAGTTGAAGTCTGTATTTGATGCTAAAGTTACCGCTACTTTCTGGAATCAGCGTGGCTCTCTTTAAATGACATTTTCTCTTTTTCACTTGGGACATATACTCTCATCCAAGAATAATCCCGAAAATACATTTAAACACAAAAAGATCTTTGTACAGATGCTAAGAGCTTTTCCTGGTGTATAGCGCATTGTCTTCATTTGTATACATATTTAATGGAATGCTCCATCTTTAATTTTTGAGAGTCAAATTATATAGCCATGAAGGTTAACACTGGGCCAAAATTTAAAAAAAATTATTACAGGCCTAGAGTAAGTTAATAGGTAAGAATTTCAATAATGGTAAATTCAGTTTCTGGTGTTGATATGATTCTTTGTTTTGGGGAAGAAATAACTTTTTCTCAACTGGGAGATGGCTTATGTGTTCTTTGTTATGAATAGCTCTGTTCAGAATCATTTGCAGCACTATTTTGTAGGATACTTTTGTTCGTAGTACGATTAATTTCATGGGTGGGAGAGTAGAAACTAAACGGGTGCCGTGTCAGAGCACCAGAGTGCAGTGGAAAATTCCTAGACCATGTTGAGATACTTAGAGAAGCTGAAAAATGAGAACTAAGCAAGAACACTTGTTCCCCAGAGGCCTGGGCCGACACACCCATGTTTCCTTACACCACCTCTCTGTCACACACTCAACGAGGCTGTGTTTCTGTTTTTCATTTTAATTGTAATGTTCTAGTGAATATATTATGGTTTTTGTTGTGTTTATTGGAGTTCTCACTATAAAACTAATTCATAATTATTTTGACTGTTTTGATACATCTTCCTCCAAGCTGCTGAAAAACTGAGTCATTTGCCTTTTCATTTTTTTTCTTGCAGGAAATTCGGCGCCTTCATCAGTATGTGAAATTTGCTGTCCAAGACGTGAACGACGTGCTCGACTTGGAGTGGGATCGGCATCTGGAGCAAAAGAAAAAACAAAAGTGAGCACGGTCTCGTCAGCCGCAGGCTGCAGTACATGGGCGGTTGCCTTTTGACAAGATGACTTAGGAGCCTTTATAAAAGAACCTACACCCGTTTGTCCTAATCGGCCCAGTCATCCTACTTCTAGAAATTTGTTCTACGGAGATAATAGCAATGCTCCTAACAATTTAGAGTTTATATCACAACCCAACCTACGAAAGTGAAAACTTGGATCGAACCTCGTTATCCAAAAGTTAGAGTTGCGGCTGAGTGACTCTGATGACACTCAACGAGATTGTTTTTTGTTTTTTTTTTTTAAATACAGACTACTGTGTAATCCCTGTCTAGCATGTTCTCAAAAAATTACGTTAAACACATTTTCTATGTTCCATGGAATGTACAAAATACGTAATTATGTAACTATAATTATTAGGTATATAATACATAAAATACAAAAAGGTAAGACATAAAATCCTACTGGGTGATCTCAGTGTGGAGGTCTAAACATGGAAAAGAGGCTGGAATCAAGCTGTCAATATTCATAAATATATCTGTGAGACGGGCTTAAGAGAATTTTTTTTCTTTTTTTGTATATTCCAGATTTTCTTTTTGAGGAAATACTTCTAATTAATATGGCTAATAGGATGAGAGGAAATGATGAAAAAGTACAGAAAACCCTTTTACCCCGGCCTTCTATCCCTGGATATTTGGTTTTATGCCATATATTTTCCAGACGGGATAAAATGCACTACATTGTAGAGCAGTGAAGTGCCTACAAGAAATAGAAACACGGATCAGCCATCAAAACGCTTGAATTTCTGAAATACTTACCTTCGATTACTGTTATTACCCGTGTGAGGAAACACACCAAGGAACACCAAGCTTGTTTACAAAGCTTTGGGACTTTCAAGTAGAGCAAACTGGGTGTGATGTCAGGGGCAGGGCTAGAATGCGCTTAAAATTCTGTGAGCAGAATTTAATACATTATATTGTACCACATGAAGAAAGGCTTTCTGCCCGACCTGAAGGATCTCAGTTCGGAGCACAGATTGGGGAGGTAGAGGGGAGCCTCGAGCCCTTGGACACTGGCAGGGAAGGATTCTGCAGCCTATGGCCTGCAGCATTTGGCCCCCGTGGCAGCTGGGCCCCATTGGAGATTTCACAGCTTGCTCCCCTAGTTCTGAACTCATGTACAACCCCACATGAGAGGATGACTTGGCCTGACAGCGTGCGCATTCTTCTCTGCTGGGCGGTTCAGTTTCTCTTTGCCAATTAATAAGTTGACTGTTTCAAAAAGTGCATAATGATAGCCCAGGAGCCAGGCTTTCTTCCTTATGACAGTTCCATGGTTTTGCTACTTAATATGCTTTTAAAAAAAAAAAAATCCCTTCAGAGTTCAGATTCTTAAATCTACGCAATTTTCCAGCACGGCTGTGTTTTAGGTGCTTCTCTGAGTATTACCTCGTACCCTATCAAAATGTGTTTTTAAAAATTTATCTTGAACTACCTTGTCACCAGAAAGACGGGGAACTGTCCTTGTTTTAGTTCTTCGCGTGAGTTACTCCCTGCCGCTAAGTCGGGGGCTGTCCCACCATTCCTGACAGCCCTGTGGAGAGCTGACTGATCCCGCAGACATTCAGCGAACCCCTGGGCTTTTTATTTTTATCGAATACAATTTATACACAGAAACTACACACGTCCTGAGTATATAACTGAATGAACGTTTCCTGTTTTTGACTTGTCTCCCTTTTCCACCTCGGCGCTTCTTCGAGGTGTCACCTGATCACACCTACAGGCCTGGCCTGCGAAATCCCAAACTGCTCTTTCCTCGGTACATTTTATCCTCGTTAGGCTTCTGTCCTGTTTTTATGTTCTGGTAATTCCTTGATGCTCTTTGTCCACGAGCAGTTCTCCATTTTATTCTTGTTACTAGGACAGTGGTAGTCTTTGATTTTTTCCTTCTGTGGGAGGTTCCTTTAGTCAAAGCACTCCCGTGTGATTCTTTTCTCATTGCCGTCAGCAGGCGCCTGCTTGTGCCAGAGCGAGAGACACTGTTTAACACCCTGGCCAACAACCGGGAAATCATCAACCAGCAGAGGAAGAGGCTGAATCACCTGGTGGACAGTCTCCAGCAGCTCCGTCTTTATAACCAGACTTCCCAGTGGAGCCTTCCCCCGGTTCCCACCCAGAGCAGCACTCACAGGTGTGCGGGAGACTGGGCCGATCAGTAAATACAGCTGAATGAACGAACGAATATTTGGGAGTGAGGTGGAATAGTCTTCAACTGGTTCAAATGTGGATTTGAAAGTGACTCTGCTGTGTATCGCCTGTGTCATCCTGGTTAGGCTCCTCGCCCTCTCTGATCCATTGTTCCTTTGCCTAAAGACGAGGAATAGCAATACCTGCCTCATGGGATTTTTGGAGAGTTAAATTAAGTCTAGAAAGCACCTAGGAGGTGCCTGTGAAATAGGTGCTCAGTAGATGGTAGCAGAGACCGTAGTGTAATAGTATCGTTGTTTTATTGAAAATTAACTGACTTGTCTCAAAGCTTAGATTTGTCATTTGGCTTAAGTGTGGAAACTTTCAGACCCTAGCTGTTAAGACAGTTCCCCCGGAAGTTCCCAAGGTGGTTCCGTGTTCCTGCCCTTAGGCCGAGTGTGTAGATTTCAATCCCTTTCTGCTGAAGCACTGTCACCATTGTGCTCACCTTGGGTGCTATATAGTACTAAGGCTGTGATCGCTTTCTTTTTGGATTGATTACATCAGTCGGTCAGGTTTCCTGTTTCTGTACTGGGGTGCTCTCATCGCTTGCGTTTATGTTTAGGATAGCGTAAGATTTCTCCGGTCGTAGTTGGTTTGTATGTAACACTATCCTGTTCAGTTTTGACAGTGACCTCGAAAGCCTGCGCAATGCCTTGTTGAAAACCACCATAGAATCTCACACTAAACCGTTGCCCAAAGTACCAGGTAAATGCGTTCTTCCCAGTCTTTTCTCTCTTTGTCTCTTTCATTTACTGACCGAGTCTTAAGCACTCACGGGTTCATGAATTTCTTGCAGCTAAACTGTCCCCTGTGAAACAGGCACAACTGAGAAACTTCTTGGCCAAGAGGAAGACCCCACCAGTGAGATCCACTGCTCCAGGTAAAGGGGACTGGAATTTTTAGCATAAACCATCCAGTACAAGGTGTGGGAGTGGAGTGTTTGTGTGTGTGCGTGTGTGTGTGTGCGCGCGCGCGCGTCTGTGTGTGTCTGTGTCTATGTTTTCCTTTTGGTTCTTAATAGGGGATAGAGAAAATGTCCCCAGAATCTGTCCATGTGCATTCTGGAGTAGGAAGCCGTTTGCATATGCTGGACCAGGCAGCTCCAGCAGTGTGTTCGGCTTATCCACTGCTAGCTACAGCCCCCAGGTTATGTGGCAGTCATTCCCAGGGGTGTGGGGGAGGCTGAGCCGGCTCCAGGGACCATAGCCTCTGCTTTAGAAGCTCGACGTTTCTGATTTGTGTGGGCTTTTCAGTAAGATTGTATTTGGAAAAAGGCTTCTTGAGGAAGAAGAAAAAACCCACTGATTAGAGAATGATAGCTAAAAACACTTGCCGAAAGAAGCCATATAACTGATGGAGAAAAATTGTTTCTGCCATTAAATTATCTAGATAACTATCTCAGTTTTCTTTTTTTAAAATATGTCATGTGCACCTGCAGGCAAAAATGTGCTTTGCTTTAGTGCCCATATGTGCTTTTTCTCTTTGAAATCCAGTTTCGAGTTGAAATTTTTTATACCAACAATAGATGCTTTTTGGTAATTAAAATAGCAGAAGGAAATTTAATCTTACTGTATTTCGATTAATTTTTCTGTAAACATATAAAGCTAAATTAGGTAATAGTCACAGACAAGTGAGTTTTTTAAATAACCTTTTATCTAAAGAAAACATTCTCTTGGTAGATAACTGGAAAAATAGGGGAAAGTATAAAGAAGAATTAAAATTACTCTTAACCCAGTCATTCTGGGTTACTCTTAAACTTTTTTCTTTGCATATGTAAATTTTTTGAAAACGAGGTTGGATCTATTACGTTTATAATATTATGTCCTGATTTTTTTAATTTAGAAACTTATGAACCCTTACTATGAAACAGAAAATAACAAGTGCCGACAAGGATGTGGACAGATTTGGAACCCTTGTGCACTATAAGTAAGAATGTAAAATGGTACAGTGCTGTGGAAAACAGTTTGATGTTGCCTGAAAAATTAAAAATAGAATTACCATATGATCCGATAATCTTCTCGTGGGTAGAACCCAAAAGAATTGAGAGCAGGGACTTAAACAGATCTTTTGGACACTCGTGTTCATGGCAGCATTTTTCACAGTAGCTGAAAGGTAAAAAGCAAGCCAGACGTCCACTGACAGATGACTAGATAAGCAAAATGGGGTAGATATGTATATTAAAAAGGAAAGAGATCTTGAGAGGTGCTACCCTGTGGATAAACCTCGAGGACAGTATGCTAAGGAAACAAGCGAGTCAAAAAAGATAGGTTCTGTGTGCGCCTACTTACGTGAGGAACCTAGGATGACAGATAGTAGCATGGTGGTTGCCAGCGGCTGTTGTGGGGAGGGCAGAATTCGGGGAGTTAGTGTCCAGTGGGACAGAGGTGAAAAGAATTCCGGAGATAGATTGTCGTGATGGCTGCACACAGCATCTCTGTGCTTAATACCAGTGAAGTGTACGCTTGATGATTCAAACGGCATGATTTATGTTATGTATATTCTACCACAATAAAAAATTGGGAGAAAATTTTTAAAAATTTCATGAGATTTTTCTCTGCTTTCTGTTTTAAAATATTCTTTGAACATGCATCTTATAACAAGTGCTCAGTCTTTTCTTGCATGAGGCCACAATTGGCTTATCCAGTCCATTGTGCGAAGTGCTAATCTTATTGCAGAGATTTTACCTGGAAATTCATGTTCACAAATCTTTAACCACGTCTCTAAATGTATTTTTATAATAGATTTTTTAGAAGTGAGATTTATATGATTTATTTAATCATTCATTCAACAAATATGATTGCCTACTTTGTTCCAGTGATAAATAAGAGAAAGACAGTCTCTGAGCACAAAAACAGTTGATTAAGAGGAGAATACAGACATTAAGCAGATAACTGCATATTATACTCATTTAACATTAGGGTATATACTGTAAAGAGTAATAACTCAGCATGTAAACATTTTTAACTTTTTATAAAACTGTGAAATATAACACATTCAGAAAAATGCACAAAAATACTATCTGTGTAACCTCTACCCAGGTTAAGAAACAGAACTTTGTCGTTGTCAGCGCCCTAGGCCCCCTTCTTGTGCACCCCCAGTCCTGCTGCGCCCCAAAGGTACTACTATATGATGTATATGGTAGTTTGCCCTTGCTTTGTTTTTCTCTTGGCATTTTAAATTTTTATTTATTTTGAAAAATTTCAAACCCCCAGTTTGGAGAATAATAACACCGAGTAGCCATTTACCATTCACCCATTTTTCTTACTAATATTTGCCACAGTTTCTTTGTTGCCCTTCTCTCTCCCATGCAGGCACACGTTATTGTTACTAGTTTCACTTAACTATTTGAAAATAAGGTGCAGACGGGACCCTTTACACTTAAATATTTTTTTGGCGCATGTCCAAGAACACGGATGTTGTCTTATCCAACCACGATGCAGTGATCAGATTTAGGAAATTTAACATCAGTAGAGTATTATTACCCGCTGCGTAGTCCATACTCACAGTTTGCCAGCTGTTGCCCTCTGTCCTGCAGAGCCACTCTTTTTAAGAAATCTAGGATCCAGTCCGGATTGTGCATTGCATTCTTTCCCTTTCTTCTCCTTTATCTTTGCTTTTCTTGACAGTTTGACTATTTCAGCGTGCCTCCCCAAACACTCTAATTTGGTTTTGCCTGTTGGGGCGGGGCGGGGCAGGATGGGGGAGCTTCTTGTACTGTATAAGTCCATTCATTTATCCTCTGGGTGGATTGCTCTTGCTTCACATCAGGTTTGAAAGAGTCACCCATGTTGTTGGTATAGCTGTTACTCCTTTGTTTTGTTGCTGTGTAGTAGTCCGTTGTATGAATATAATGCATTTGTTTATCATTCTCCTTTTGGGAGACTTATGCTCTTGCCAGTTTTTAGCTGTAATAGAATGGAATGTTCTGAGCATTCTTCTGCTTGTCCCTTGGGGCACATGTACCCCCTTTTATTTGGTCACGTGGCTCGGAGTGGAATTTATGGCTTGTATTCTGGCCATGTACTCAGCTTCTGTAGATACTGCCACACAGTTTTCCAAAGTGGTTGTACCAATTTATACTTTTCCCATCAAGGTTTGAATATTCCAGCTGCTTTACGTCCTTGCCAAGCTTGCTATTGTCAGTCCTTTTCCTTGTGACTATATCTTTTGTGATGTACCCGATTAAATCTTTTGCTCCTTTATCAGATAATGTCTTACTGATTGGTAAAACTTTTTAGATATTCTTGATACCAGCCCTTTGGTTATATGAGTTGTAGACATTCACTTTGTTGCCTTTTACCCTCTTAATGGTATCTTTTGGTGAACATGAGTTCTTAATTTTAAAAGATTTGTCAGCCTTCTCTTTTACAGTTAGTACTTATTGTGTTCTCTTTAAGAAACCCTTCCCTATCGCTAGGAAACAAAAGTGTATATATACCTTTATTATTATCTAGAAATGTTAATGTTTTGCCTTTCAAATTTAGATCCATCTACCTGGAATTGATTTTTTTAAATAACTTCATTCAGGTATAATTTACATATCATAAAATTCCCCTGTTGTAAGTGTATAGTTCGATGGTTTTTGGTAAATTCGTGGGCTTGTATGACCATCATCACATTCCAGTTTCAGAAAATCTTCATCATTTAAAGAGTTTCCTCCTGCTTGTTTGTAGTTAATTTTTCTTCTGCCCTCAGCATCCATTGGTCTGCTTTCTTTCCTGAGGATCTGCCTTTTTAAGAAATTGCCTGTAAATTGGCTTCTTTCACCTAGAGTAATGTTCGTGCGGTTCACCCGCATTGCGTAACATATATCAGTAGTTCATTCCTTTTTCTTGCTGAATGGTATTCCATTGTGCGAATATACCATACTTTGTTTACATTACCTGGAATTGATTTTTGCATAATATAAAGTATGGCTCACGTGTCATTTTCTCGCATTTAGGTACCTGATTGTCTAACAGTGTTTATTGAAAAAATTCCTTTCCTTTGTTGTAAATCAATTATCCTTATGCGTGCAGGTCTGTAGGTCTCGTACACTGGTTAGAGACCCCTGCTACCACACAGCCTTAACTAGTACTAAAATAAGTCTTGGTGCTGTTCTTTTTTAAATTCTGTCTGTCTTGTCCAATATGATACTTTAAATTGATAAAAATTAAATAAAGTTAAAAATTCAGTTACGTAATTCCAGTAGCCACATTGCAGGTACACAGTAGGCACATGTGACTGATACAGCGACTGTGATGGGAAGCATGGATCTAGAGCATTCCATCATCACAAAGTTATACAGTCTGGAAGCCAAGATTCACAAACTTTTTCTTAAAGGGCCAAATAGTAAATATTTTAACCTTGCAGGCCATGTGGTTTGTATTGTACCTACTCAGCTCTGCATTTCTAATGGGAAAACGGCCATAGAGAAGATGTAAATGAATGGGCATGTCTAGGTTTCCATAGAACTTTACAAAAATGGGCATCCAGCCCATGGTTGTAGTTTGCCGACCCATGGTCTAGAACATTTTGGCTCTTCTTGGTGCTTTCTGTTTCCATATTAATACCAGAATTGTCTTGTTAAATTCTACCACCGTCAGCCCTCAAAGAATAGTTGCGATTTTCTTTTGGATGGCACTAAATCTGTAGATCATCCTGTTAGAATTGACATTTGTACAGTGTTGATCTTTCAGGTCCTAAACTCGGTGTATATTTATCTTGACTTTCTCTTAATGTTTTCTGCATGGAGGACATGCATATTTTTGGTTAGATTTATTCCCGAGAGTTCAATATTTTTGATGCTCTTATACTGGTGGGCCTTTTTTTCTTAAATTTCATTTCACATTTTACATTAGATGTGGTATATAGAGACGTATTATTCGTTGTGTATGTCGACTGTATCTAGCATCCTGGCTTGGCTCATTTATTCAAATAATGCGTCTGCAGGTATTTCTTTGACTTTCTGTGGGAACAGTTATATCCTCCACACATACTCACACTTTTGTTTCTGCCTTTTCATTCTTTTTATTTAACTTATTTTTCTTACCTCGTGTCACTAGTAGGATCTCCAACGCAGAGTCAAACAAAAGTGGGGAGCGGGTCCTTGCCGTGACCTCCAAGGGAACCTCTCTGTCGTTCACCGTAGGTGCCGAGTTTGTTGCATCTCCGGAGATGGTCATGATTTCTTTTTTCTTTTCCTGTTAATGTAGCTTTCTGCCTTTCCTAATCTGAGCCGGCGTTTAAACAATAAGATTCTTTAGATTTCACAGGGCGCCCCCTTTCTAAAACCAGGAAGGTAGCTGCATCCTTGACCACAGCAGGGAGAGGCAAGTCTCAGCTGTGGGGGCAGCACTTTTGGGAGAGTGAGCAGTCCAGGCTCCTGGCCTCTGCGAGTGAGCATGGCCATTGCATCTTTCAATTAATGGAGCCTCCTCCACCCAAAGCCAGTGAATGGCATCAGAAAGATAAGGAAGGAAACTGAGAGACCCCCAGGTTGTATCAGACCTCGGAAGTTACGTAGTTAATATCAGTTTTTGTCTCTGTTCAATTCTCAAAGGTGTTATCTGCGTCATCTTTTGATGCTGACTTTTAGGAACTAGGATTTTAGAGAAATTATTGAGGGCATTGTGGCCCCAAGAGAATACGGGGTTTATATTTGTTTTCTGTGGATGCCATAACAAATGATCACGAAGGTAGTGGCTTAAAACACCACTCATTTATGATACCACAGTTGAATGGGTCAGAAGTTCAGGTGCACGGTGGCTCGCCTGGGCCCTCCGCTCAGCGTTCACAGGCCGAATGAAGTCAGGGCATTGGCTGGCTGAGCTCTCGCTGGAAGGCTTTGGGGAAGATTCCACTTCTAAGCTCATTGGCCTTGTCGGCAGGGTTCCAGTCCGTGCAGCTGCAGGACTGAGGTCCTCGATGCCTTGGCGTACGCTCCAGTCCCCTTATCCACATGCGCGCGACAGCACCTTGAATCCCAGAGCTCCAGATCTCTGCCTTCCCCTTCTGCCACATCAGACTTCCTGTTCACTTCCTTTCTCTGCCTGGAAGGGGTCCTGCGATTTTACATTGGGCCCCCCCTGGATAATCCAGGCTAACCTCTCCATTTTAAAGTCACCCGATTAGTAACCTAAATTATGTCTGCAGAATCCCTTTTGCCATCTAATGCAACAACCATCTAACAACGTAGCCACTGGTGTGGCACCAGGGAGCAAAGGGCCAGGTGTCAGAGGCACCAGGTTTGAATTCTGGCCCCGCCGTTTACCAAACTCACGTGTTACTTAACCTTTCTAAGCGTTGCTCATGAAGTCAGATGACAGCAATTTCTGACTCACAGGGGGATTGCGAGGATTGAATGGGATGTGTATAGATGCTCTGTGCAGCACGCGGCGTGAAGCAAGTTCTCATCAGCATTAACTGCAGTTTTGCTGCTGGTGCTGGTGGTTAGGGATGGAATTTCTAAGTGAGCCTGCCGCATACTTACTTGTGTCCAAGTTCTCTGGTCCAGCGCTGTCCAGTAGAATTTTCTGCAATGATAGAAGTGTTTTGTATCTGTGTTATTCAACATAATAGCTGCACGTGGCTATTGAGCCCTTGAAATGTGCCCAGTACAACTAAGGATTTAAAGTCTTGTTTATCTACTTTGAATTATTTTTAACTGAAATAGCTGCAGATGGCTAACGGCTGCCAAATTGAATGGCGCAGCCCCAGCATGTAGTATTGGTTTTCAGTTTCATTTGCTTATGTCACATTTAGTTGTGACAAATAAAATCTTAGAGAGTGATGTGTCTCTAGGGTAAACAAGTCAGTAAATATTAGCAGTGCTGTTTTAAGTAACTTGAGGAGGAGAAAGGGCTAGGATTTTTGTTGTTTTTACGTTTTTTTCCCCAATAGACACAAACAGTAACGTGCATTTCTAAATTCATGGTAGAAAGTAAAATGACATAAAATGGCATAAAGCGTTACTTCATAGTTTAAAGAAGGAAAAAGCAGGGAGGTCAGGATTAGTTTCAGGGATTTTTTATCTTAAATCTAATTGTCTGATTTAAAAGAATCATTAGATTTATCCGGAAATGTTTAAAACGGGACGGAGGACCTTTCTTTCCAGTTTACATCAGGCCTGCTCTTAGAAATTTAAATTTGTCGTTGGAAAGCGACAGCAACAGTGTGGCTTACTGTCACTGTGCTGAGGACGATTATCCGTTACTTTTCTGCTGTGTCATTGTCCTGCCCGCGAGAATGGTTGGCAGGGGCTCACAGTCCCCTATTACACCGGCATTCGCTCTGTCTTGCACGTTGCACGTTTTCGTGCCACAATCAACATGTCCTTGTCCTGCATAGCTTGGTATTTCAGAGCCCAGTGAAGCAGAGACCCCCAAACCATCTTTGTCCCCACTCGGCATTAGCCGCTTCCATTTAAAATAAATAATAATTAAATTGTTTTACAGATGGGATGTTTATCGATGTGAAAGTTACATAGCTTTCGGACTTGCCTCGAGGTATCTAACTCGCGTTTGTCATGGGCTTTGCAGCCAGCCTGTCTCGATCAGCCTTCCTGTCTCAGAGGTATTACGAAGACTTGGATGAGGTCAGCTCAACGTCGTCCATCTCTCAGTCTCTGGAGAGCGAAGACACGCGGGCGCCCTGTAAAGATGACGACGCGGTGGTCCAGGCCCCTCGGCACGCCCCCGTGGTTCGCACCTCTTCCGTCCAGCCCGGCCTCTTGCCCCAGGCGGCGGCTCCTTTTGCTAAATCCCACCTCGTTCCTGGTCCGCCTGGTGTGATGGGAACTTCAGGTGAGGAACAGTGAGACCGGAAATGACCTTTTTCCCCAATGAGGTTTCTGACCCATGAAAGAACGGTAACTGGGTTTTATACTATCACACCAAAAAGTCGTTGATTCCAGCCCATTTCTGCTAAGATTCCAGAAGTTAGAAGACTAATTCAAAAGGTGCGTTCTCCTGGAAAGCAGTTGGTGGGACATCGTGAGGAAGAAGAGACTCTAGGTTCCCACGACCTCACTTCACTGTTGAGTCCAGCTTGCGTTATTTTAAACGGGTCTTCAGGGGTGAGAGGAGGAGGCTGTTTCCTTTAGTAGAAAATAGCGTCCCATGCACGCCTTTCACATCCTCGCTCGTGTCAGCTCGCTGCTCGGAGCCATATTCCGCCTCAGAACTCGCCAGCCGCGGCACCCATGGTCGGTGTTGGCTCACCGAAGCGGCCTGCACTGTGCCGTCACCTTCAGTTCAGAGCGTCAGGGCTTTGCATTGAAGCGACTCCTGACAGAGACCAAGCATGAGTGAGGTACTGGAACGGAGGGTTGCCGAGAGGAGAGCAGGGAGTTGGTGTCGTTGGCATAAAGGTTCCATCTTGCTCAGGATCAGGGAAATGATCATGCGAAGTGCTCCAGCTGATAGAGGAGACAGGCAAGCTGCACATGGCATCTTTGAAAGATAGAAGTGCCGGCCCGTCAAGCTGACTGGTACTTTTCTGCGTTAGTGCTTCAGGATTTTTAATCTTCACAGTTCCCCTGCAACCTAACGTGGAGAATTTGCCGTTTTAACTTATGTGTTTTTTCTTTTCTCACCGCTTATTGAATTTGTCTTTTTCCTTCAGGGTCTACGTCTGCTAGCAAAATTCCTCAGGGGGCCGATAGCACAATGCTCGCAACAAAAACCGTGAAGCACGGCGCCCCTGGTCCTTCCCACACCATCTCCGCTCCGCAGGCGGCCGCTGCTGCAGCCCTGAGACGGCAGATGGCCAGTCAGGCGCCAGGTAGGGACCGGAGCCACACACCTGTGCGGAGGCTGATTTTGAGCTGAGTCACAGGCCAGGGTAGCAGGTGCCAAGAAACACCTGGCTCTCATCGCTGCCCTTCCAAAGAGAAGACTGATGTTGCAGAGATCAGGTCTGAAACTTTTTCCTTTTAAGGGGACGTGTTAGATCTGCCACATTCAGATAAGTAGGAATCCTGGTTTTTTGATGAAATTGTTAATCCCAACTTTTGATTAATCTCTTTCAGCCCCAAATTCATCTTTGCAGTTAGATCACCTAATAGTCACATTATCTCACGATATCTTAAGGACCTCAACCACCTTTGAGGTGGGCAGTTAGCGTGCCCATTCTGCATTTGAGTAATACGAGGTTCAGAGAGGTGAAGGTGACCCAACCAGTGGGTAACAAAGCCCAGACGCCCACCCTGGGCCCTTTCTGCTGCAGCACAGCTTCTTCTTAGATGGCAGACGTGGCCTTTACAGATGGGATAGTGAGGACTTGCATTCCGTCAGTGGCGGGTGGCTCTCCAGGCTTCTGCGTTAGCTTGCTAGGGCTTTGGCCCCAGGACCTATTTATTACTGGTGACCACGTTGTACCAGCCAGCGGTTCTCAACAAGAGGGCGTTTAGCCCCGCCCCACCCCCAACAGTTGACAGCATTGGTGGTATCTAGTATGCAGAGACGAAGAATACTACCCAAAAAATCTTTAAAGTTTCTTTTTTAACTTTTATTTCTTTTGCATATCCTGGGTCACTTTTATTACAGCCATCATTACTACATTTGGCAGCGATTTACATTTTACCTTACATGATAGTTTTTGAAGAAAAAAAATGGATGTTACAACTAAGAAAAACAACGTTTGTGTAAAGTCACGTTTGTATACTTCAAGAGTAGTTTTTAGAGCTGAAGTAATGTTCTTTAAGCTTCATGGTTAAAGTAACAAAGCCTTTCATTTGAAAAAGGTACCTGACTCTCTATCCTCGCACTCTTAATTTATTCATCTATTTATTTTGTTTATACCAGTGCATTACAAGATCACGAGATAAAAAAAAATTATAAAAAAATAATGAAAGATTTCTAAGAAAAGTTCAAATGTTAAAACTATTATCAAGGCATTTAAAATAGACATGAAACCTTAAGCAAGGTAGCATGTCAAAAAGAGTCTTTTGAAAGAATGGAAATAGAAAGAATACTTACAAAGGTGTAAGTATTACTTAGGCCAAGCAGAATCTTGGCATTGTGCTGAACAGGCCCAAAATCAAAGCTGATAGAGTTGATTATTTATAAACTTAAAATCTGCCAGGATTTAGGATTTTCCCACTCCCAGCAGGAGGTGGTAAATGATAACGATCTCTGTTATCATTTTGGAAGCAAAAATTTCTAAGATGTAGGCACCTTTGACTGTGAAAGGTGAACTATGTACAGTCGTAGGCAGGATACCCGGTTGTTTCTCGGGCGGAGGGACTAAAAGCAAGCTGCCGTAGATCCCCGTTCTGCCCTGGCCGCGGCTTGCGGCTCTGCCGAATGTGGAGCTAGGAGAGACCCAAGGGCTAACTCAGGCCTTCTTAATTAACAGTTAATGTAAAATATCGGCAAGTCTTGGAAGACAGTTTTAAATTATGAGGCACAGAAAAAGAGATGTGAAAGCTGGCAGATCTAAGATGGATAAGCAGGTGTCACATCAACCTGTTGCCATTCCTTACTTCAGGCCTGGCAACCTCGTCCCCGTTCTTGTCCAAGCTCCATTTCCCACATTTTGTTCATTGTGTGTCTCACTAAGCCGTGAGCTCCTTTAGAGAAGAAACTATACACATTTTTGTATTCCCAGCACCTAACAGAGTCTGGCAGTAGTAAGTTTGTGTGAAAAGATGGTTGAATGAATGCGTGGATCGATGGCAGAAATTTTTAGTCTGAATGCTGCTAATCTTCCAGCTCTTTCTGCCCTTTTCCAGGATCAGCCAACAATGTGGCAAGATCTCAGCTCTGTTCTGTAAAATAAACTCTGGTCGGGGAATTCTTCCCTAGACCAAGACGTTTGATTAAATTGCACCAAGCCTCATATCCTGACCTTTATGAGTGGGGAAGGCCAGGTGTTCCACTGAGCAGAGCTGCAGAACTACCTGGAGTAGGCTTCCTGTGTGTAATGAGATTGTATTCTGCTTGAGTCCGTGGCCTGGTTAGTCATTTACCGTGGCTAGACTTTTGATCCTTCGCTGCAGTTAAAATGCCTCTCTGTTCTCTATTTAAATAGCTATAAGTACTTTGACTGAATCAACTTTGAAGAATGTCCCTCAAGTGGTAAATGTGCAAGAACTGAAGAATAATCCTTCACCCACCTCTGCAGCGATGGGGTACGTTACACCTGTGCAGTGTGTTTAAGCTAATGAATTATTTCGTGATAGTGACAAACTGCCTGTAGGGAGCAGCATTGCCGCTGTCACAAAGTTACCATTTTTTCTGCAGAGCCTTAGGTTGTAAGGGTTGGACAGCTAATCTTAGATACACAATTAGATTTTCAGGGGACTGTCCCCTTCAACGTGCCACAGTGACAGTTGCCTCATAAACCTTTACAGGCTGTGTCGGTGATGTATGCCCAGTATGCTGTTTGCCATGAATTAATCTACGTGTGGTACTCTCGGGGTTATTTAGTCAGGTGCAGGGCTTGATATTTTTCTTTTAAATACTCTTGAGGTTCCAGAGTTGATGCTTCAGTTCTAATACAAATTATTGATCCTGAAAACTCAGTGGTGATCTTGAAATTGACAGTCTCCTCTCTCATTTCTTCTCTCTGGATACTTCCGTTCTTTCAAGTTTCTTTTGCCTTTTGTATGGGGGGTGGAGGGGAGAGTATTTTGAAAGGCAGCAGCTCTGTTTGGAGATGTCCAGCTTCTCTCCTGTGCCATGTTCGAGGGCTGGATCGTTGCCACCGAAGCTTACTTTTCTTCAGTCGGAATCCGTTCCGAAGTCAAGGCGCTGGCTCCCGCCCACAGTTGCAGGAGCACGGCTCATAGAACGTGCCTGCCCTGTGGCTCTGCGTATTTCGTAGCCGTGATCTCGTAGTCCAGCCCAGCCTCCCCTGTGGCGTAGGGACATTTCCTCAGGTCATATGTAGGGATCAGGAGACCAGTGTCATCCAGGGGATTAGTGTCTGGTGTCCAGCAGCAAGAAGAGCAGCGGCGCACCCTACATGTTTTCCACACCATGCCCGCTCTCTGCCCCTCCGTCCGCCACCCGCCGTCTGCTCCCCGTCCTGCGTGGGCTTTATCCGGAGGCGGTGGCCCTGCCTCACCAGGCCACTGGCCTTCTCTTTTTTTTCTACATTGGTCCATTTATCAACACTGCCTGTTCCAGGAATTTCTTAGTTATCTCAGGACCATACCAACAGCCAAAAACAAGCCTACCCACATTCATATCTTGTCGTGACCTTGAAGCTTTGGTATGCTGTTTAGACCAAGATGGCATTCGTGGTTATTGCAAACTTCTCAAGGGCAAGAACTATGCATTAGAGTTCAGGAATTGTAGGCAGATTCAAAAAAGCCACTGCAAGGCATAAGAGCGAGATCCGGCTTAATGGTGAAGGAAATACGGTCTGGTCTCTCTCAGCCGTTTTTGCCCCTCGCCATGTGTGAGAAGCATCTCTTGGTGATTTCACTTTGCCCTTCTCAGCCTTTGTTTGCCTCAAACGGTTCGTCTGCGCTGATCTTGGCCGAGGGCTTCGTGAGCGGAGCAGTTCTGAGTTTGCCCTTTTTCTTTGACTTAAGAGAAATAGACACAAAAGTTAAAAGCAATCTCGATGAAATATTCTCTTCCTCTCCCCACAGAATTGGACTTTGGTACAGTTATTTAACTGTGTGCCCAGCATGGTGCCTGGCGTGTCGTTTCTTTTTAATCATTTATTGAATAATAGGTAAATTCTAAGCACAATTGATAAATGGAGATAAGATAGCTCCCGAGGGAAATACAGTCGTCATAAAATTACTTTCAGATCCTGTTAAGCAGTAGTTTCCTAAGTGTACTGTATTTAATTTTGCATTTAACCTTTTCTGGGTAGTATCTTATAGAAGAATTATTATAAGATGAGCTTATATAGTTCCACCCTTGTTATGTCTTATGGTCATTGGCTTCATCCATTGTATTCATTGACTGCCTGATGCAGGACAGGACGAATCCCCCCGAGTGGGGACTCAGGTCCTGCACCGAGAGAGAGGAGGGTCCTCGACAGCCCGCAGGGAAGAGTTCAAGTGCAAGCCAGTTAGAGACGAAAGGAAGGTTGGTTAGAGAAGGAACAGCGCTCCATAGACAGAGCTCGGTGTCCTCAGAGACAGAGAGTGGGAGACACAAAACCTCGAGTGTTCGAGGAATTCAGTTTGTGCGTGGCTTTTAGTTTCTGTGAATTGCAGTTTGAGGACTTGGTTTCCCTGTTCTCCTTCGTGGTGCGTGTTCGCAGCGTGCAGGGCGAGCGAGCGAGCTCGGTCTTCGTTCTTGGTCCCCAGCGGCCTGGCTGTGGGGAATGAAGGGCTGAGTTTATGTTGAGTGGGGTGGGACTGTTTTCCTGTTTTCCTTTCACGGCGTGGGTGAACAGTCATCCCCGGAGGACTGTTCCTTGGTTCCGGGGGCTTCGCCCGGTCCGGCAGCACACCGCGGGCCCTGAGCACAGCTTGTCGTTTTGTGCGGTCCTCGCGCCCCTTCCCTGCGTCAGGACCATCCTGCGTTAGGGAAGAGAGTTTATCTGGAGCAGACCCGTGGCTATTCCGACTCCTCGAGGCTCAGCCACTTGATTCAGCGGAGTCTTACGGGGCATCATCTGTGAGCACCATCCCGCCCTAGGTACTGAGGACACAGTAGTGGGACATCCCGAGTCCCCGCTTTTAAGGCTCTTAAATTTCAGCAAGAAGACAGCCACCAAACTGCCAGTCACACAGTTATTTAACTGCAGGGTGGTAAGCTCCGTGAAGGGGAAGTACAGGGTGCTAACACAGCACGTAACGAGGCATCTGAGCGAGCCCGGGTGACAAGGAACTTGGTGAGGAAAGGCGGTTTCAGCTGGAAGTTGGACAGTGGCTAGAAGTGGCTGGGCCAACGGCAGAGAGGAGCGTTCAGGGTACAGAGTGTGTGGAAGGAAGGGCAGAGCATGACCGAGGCGAGGTCGAAAGAAGGCCAGCGTGGATAGAGCCCCGGCAGGACGTGGGGTGTCAAGAAAGTGGGGCCGCATGAGGTGGGATTTGGGGCTGGTTGGTTTTTACCAAACGCAGCAGACGCATCATTCCTTTCCAGAATTTTGGCATTCATTTAATCGTCGTTTAACAAATACTCGATGAGCGTTTTCTGTATCCCATACGAGGTTCTGGGGATAAAGCAGTCAACAAAACAAAACCAAAAAACATAACTCCAACCCTATCTTAGTCGCAGAGAGAAAATGATAAGTAAAATAAATGAGTGAAATGTATTGTATTTTAGATGGTGGTAGGCACGATGGAGAAAATTAAAGCCGGGAAGGGGTTAGGGGCTGGCACCTGGGCATCAGTTGCAATTTTAAATAGAGTGGCCAAAGAAGGTGCTTTGCATACATGATGGGTGGCTAAAATATCTCAGAAATACCAGACCATCTTTTACCATTAAGCTAAGATTTCCCGTCTTGAGTAATATTCTGCCTTTCGGTGGCTTCTGACACTTGGCATTTGAATAAAGACCAAAAAGCCAGAGAGCAGATCTCGTACATATCCTGAGGAAAAAAGCTCCGAGCACAGGCCCTGTAGTGGGAGCGTGTCTGGCAGGTGGCTGGAGCGAGAGGCTTTGCACTGGCGATGAGGCCAGGGCGTAGGGGTGGCGATGGGGTCGTGGCACGTTACATCGCGTGAGCCTCGATCAGGACCCGGCTGACCATTGGGTGTTTTTTCGAATAGTTGAGTGATCTGATTAGGTTTATGTTTTGTTTTGTTTTTTAACTTTAGCAATTATTTCAAATTGAGGCATAATTTACATACAGTAAAATTCATCATTTTTAGTGTCAAATTTTTATGAGGTTTGATAAATGCAAGTAGTTGTATACAACTTACGGTTTTAGCAGGAAGCTTCTGTTCTCTTCCTGAGAATAGATCAGAAGAGCTGGGGTGGGGATGGTAGAAACAGAATAGTTAGGACTTTCTTTTTTTGTTGCGGTAAAATATACATGTAACAGAATTTACCATTTTAACCATTTTTAAGTATACAATTCAGTGACATCAATGACAGTTAACAGTGTTGTGTAACCCTCACCACTGTTTATTTTCGGAACTCTCGTTATCCCAAACAGAAACCATCCCCATTAAACAGGAACTGTGTACCTTCCCTTCTCTGGAGCCCCTGGTAACCTCTGTTCTACTGTCTCTGAGGATTCGACCATTCCAGGGATGTCATATAAGTTGGAATCACACACTGTTCGTCAGTGACAGTTAACAGTGTTGCGTAACCCTCACCACTGTTTATTTTCGGAACTCTCGTTATCCCAAACAGAAACCATCCCCATTAAACAGGAACTGTGTACCTTCCCTTCTCTGGAGCCCCTGGTAACCTCTGTTCTACTGTCTCTGAGGATTCGACCATTCCAGGGATGTCATATAAGTTGGAATCACACACTGTTCGTCCTTTCGTGTCTGGCTTATTTCACTCGAATTTTCAAGATTCATCCATGTCACAGCACGTGTCAGAATTTCATTCCTTTTATGGCTGAATGATGTGCCATTGTATGCGTAAACCCATTTTACTAATCCATATGCGTAAACCCATTTTACTAATCCGTTCATCTGTTGATGGACATCCGGGTGTTTCCGCCCTTGGCTAGTATGAAAAATGCTACAGTGAACATTGGTGTACAGGTATCTATTTGTGTCTCTGCCTAATTATTTTGTATAGTTTTAAGAGTAGAATTGCTAGATTATGTGGTAATTCTCTTTAGCTTTTGAGCCAAAAATAGTTCAACTGTTTTCCAAAGAAGCTGCACTGTTTTATGTTCCCAAGAGCAATGTATGAGGGTTCCAGTTTTTCCACATCCTCACCAACATTTGCTTTTTGTCCATCTTTTTGATTCTAGCCATCCTAGTGGGTGTTAAATGGTATCTCGTTGTGGTTCTGATGTGTGTTTCCCTAATGCCTAATGACGTTGGGCAGATGTTTGTGTGCTCATTGGCCATTTGTATCTTCTTTGGAGAAATGTTTATTTAGATCCTTTGCCTATTTTTTTTAATTGGGTTATCCGTCTTAATTGTTGAGGTATAAAATTCTTTATATACTCTAGAGTCAAGTTTCTTATCAGATATATGATTTGCAGGTATTTTCTTCCATTCTTTAGTGGTTTCATATTTTCTTGATAGCATCCTCTGAAACAAAAGTTTTTAATTTTGATGAAATTGTTTATTTTTTCTTTCGTTGCTTGCGGTTTAGGTGTCCTATTTAAGAAACCATCGCCTAATTCAGGGTCATAAAGGTTTACCCCTATATTTTCTTCTTCTAAGTTTTATAGTTTTAACTCTTACATTTAGATTTTTGATACATTTCGAGTTAATTTTTGTAAATAACGTGATGTTGCGGTCCAAGTTCATTCATTCACATGTGAACATCCAGTCGTCCCAGCACCATTTGTTGAAAAAAACTTTTTTCCCCCCATCGAATCGTCTTGATATTCTTGTCACATTGATTGACTTTTAAATGTTAAACCAGTCTTTGATAATTGCCTTTTTTATATATGGTTGAATTAAATTTTTTTCCTCTGTCTTAATGAGGGATATTGGTCTGTAGGTTTTCTGTAATGTCGTCATTTAGTTTTGAAATCAGAATAATGCTGGCCTTAGAGAATGAGTTGAGAAGTGTCCCTCCTCTTCAATATCCTGCAAGACTTTTGTAGGTTTGTTATTATTTCATGCATAAATATTTAGTAGAATCCCCTTGTGAAGTGAACTTGGCATCGAATTTTCCTTTTCCTTAGTAGATGTAGGACTTTTCAGCTTATCTGCTTCTTGAGTGAACTTTGGTAGTTTTTGTCTTTCAAGAAATTTGTTCATTTCTGAATTGTCAAATTTATTGGCATGGAGTTTTTCATAACAATCACCGATTATAATCCTTTTACTATATGTAGAATTTATAATAGTTTAACTTCCCTTTGCCTGTTAGTGGTAATTTGTGACTTTTTTCCTGATCAGTCTAGATAGAAGTTTATCAAATTTATTGATCCCAAAGGACTAATTTTTTATTTCATTGTTTGTTTCCTACTATTTTTTTGATTTTTATTATTTTATTCTGTTTGCTTTGGGTTTTATTTACTCTTCTTTTTCTAATTTCTTAGAGTGGAAGCTGAGGTCATTGATTCGAGGTTATTCTTTTCTAATACAGGATTTGGTGCTATAAATTTCCCTCTAAGACCTACTTTGGCTATATTGCACAAATTTCAAATATATACGTTTTCATTCAGTTCAAAATACTTTTGACTTTTCTTTTTTTTTATACCTATGGGTTATTTAAAAGTGTGTTATTAAGTTTCTAAGTAATTGGACATATTCTAGATATGTTTTTGTTATTTATTTTAAATGTAATTCCATTGTGGTCTGAGAACATGCTTTGTATGGCTTGAATCCTTTAGATTTGTTGAGACTTCTTTTACTGCCCAGAACTGGGATCAGCAAGGTTCTTCTAAAAGGGCCATATAAATATTTTAGGCTTGCAGAACACATGGTCTCTGTCTCAGCTGTTCAGCTCTGCCATTGTAGCCTGTGAATGCAGCCATAGACAATGTGTAAATGATTGGCATCACTGTGTTACAATAAAACTTTCTTTACCAAAGACAGGCAGCTGGCCGTTGATCTATAGTTTGTTATCCCCTGACCTAGAACATCAGTCGTCTCAGTAAATGTTCTGTGTGTACTTCAAAAGAACATGTTTTCTATTTTTATTGGTTGGAGTGTTCTATAAATGTCAGTTAAGCTAAGGTGGTTGATTGGTGGTATTCAGGTCTCTGTGTTCTTAAGGATATTCTGTCTACTTGTTCCATCAGTTATTGGAGAGTGGTATTGATATTTTCAACTATAGTGACTTTGCTTATTTTCCTTGCGATTCTGTCAGATTTTGCTTCATGTCAAAGTTCTGTTATAGTTGTATAAATGTGTAGGATCGTTACAGTCTATTGATGAGGTGACCAGTTATCATTACAAAATGAGGGTGGAAGCTGAGGTCATTGATTCGAGGTTATTCTTTATTTCTTGTAAGAGTAATTACTCCAAAATCTATTTTCTCCTATATTATTGTAGCCAGACCAGCTTTCTTTGTTTAGATTCTGTTGGAATTGTTTTTCTCCAAGAACCTGATTTCACTACTCAGTGACCTGTATGACTCCATTAGTCATTTCCAAAGCATTGCTCTAGTGTTGCCAGTCACATCAATGGCATTTGTAGACTCGAAGTAAATACGTGCCAATACAAAGCTCGATTTTTTTTTTTCAGTTGCAGATCAGAGCGTGTCAGATGAATTTCTGATCTTTCAGGTTGATATTGCTAGAGTAGAATACAGTGGTGCAAAATATGATAATTCTGAATTTGGCTTTTCCATTTTGAACATTTCTAGCTGTTGATTTCCTTTGTTTTGGTTCGTGATCGTGCACAAATCTTTGAACGTGTTTTTTGGTAGTGCACGGTTCTCTTCTGTTTGCTCTTGGGTCTTGGTGGATCTGATTTAGTCAGTTGGTTTGTTAGCCGAATGCACTGAACAGCATTTCTCTGCAGGGTTGTCATGTGACCCCGGGTGTAGGTACCGTGAATCCTAATTTTGTGTGTTTGGGAATTTAGGATACCCAAGAGATTGATGGTATTATCACAATAGAACAATAATTCTACTCGGTCTGTTTCGTGTAGGATTTAATTTACCATCATGTCATGACTAAATTTGGGGGGAAAAATGTTCCGGAATTGGATAACTGGCTGCTTTTGTTTTTATTTCTAGTTTCTTTTTTGTTTTCCTTTGAGAAAGCATGGAAGATTTTCATTTCCCTTGTGATTCTCTTGAGCTGAAACCATCTCTCTGCTTGAGTCTGCCGTGTCTGCCCAGGGATTTCTCAGTCCCCACATCTCGCTTACACATTCCTTTTCTCTGTGGGAGACGCAGCACAGGTGAGGCGGAGTGCTGAGCCTTGGTTCCTACCTGCTCAGGAGAATATCTCAGAAGAGCAGGGCTGTGTTTCTTCAGAGAGACACATATTTACAGCTCTTTCTGTATTCAGTAAAAAAACAAGGCAGTTTGTTTCATTGAAAATAACTATTTTTTTTCTCTCTCGAGCTAATAACGTTTGTTTGGGAAGGTTCCTCCGTTATTCCCACAGAGAATCTGGAGGTGCTTATAAGAGTGCTGTTGATTTTTTCTATGAGGCATGGGCTTATTTTTGTTTATCTTCTTCCAAGTTCATTTTTTGATGGAAAAATATTAATCCTCCTAACTGTAGGGAGGGCTGTGAAAAATAAAATTAGGTCCTGCAGCCGCTACTGCTGTACATACCGTCATATTAGCTCGGGACTGAAGACAGACGAATCGACTAAAAAAATTGCTTCTGAGGGCCATGAATGGAGCTTTTGTCTGCGATCGCATTAAACGGGTGATTTTTTTCCCCTCACCTATTAACACTTAAGTAATTACTGAAATAAGTTTTCCGCATTCCACGTTCAGGGTTAACAAACAGTGGTGAGAGCTCCTCCTACAAATAGCGGATGCACTTTTCCTCCTGTAGCGAAGGCGCAGAAACGGAGCAGTGTGCGTTCGAGTCTCTTGTATGCCGAGGCGTGTATGGCGGCAGACCCTCTGCATCCCCTAGATCCTGCTGCACATATTCTCTGTCTTGGAAAAGAGAGTCAGGAATCTCCACGTGGTCAGGACCTGAGGGCAACGAGGGGCACGGGCGAGAGGGCTTACTCTTCAGATAAGAAAAATTCTTACTTCTGGCTAGTTACAACTTTTTTTAGGATTGTAGGAAGAAAATAAGTGTTAAGGTTACCGCTTTGACTTTTATGGTAAAGACCCATTTCATTTAAAGAATTGATTCTTCACTCTGAGAAACATCAAATGACTTTGGTTAAGGTCCCAGACATGTATATTCTGACCCAAACTGGTGTTAGTTATTGGATAGAAGGTTGGCTCAAGGATGATTTTCACGCAGTCGTGCCTCTCTCTTGAGTTCATGCTTTATGTTTTTCAGTTCTTCGGTGTCATACTCTACAGCCAAAGCACCTCACCCAGTGTTGACGCCAGTGGCCGCTAATAATCAGGCTAAGCAGGTAACTTACTGATTTCCACTTTGTTAACAGTCATGTGGTAACTCTTTGTAACTAAGACAGTCCTATTGTAGGTCTTCACTTTGCTTTAAATGAACTGTAAGTCTGACAAAGACCTATGAGCCTTTTCCCACAGTTTATACCAGTCTTGACCGTCGTGGGCCTGATATTCTCTTCATAGGCCATTTGGGTCAGGGCCTGATATTCTCTTCATAGGCCATTTGACGTTCTGCATCTGGTAATCTTGGGTCATAGTTCTAATACCTTATATTTATATGGGGTATTTGGGTTTCTGTTTACTTTCACTGAACATTATCTTAGTTATTATAAACCGTGTTATCATTTCACATGTTCCTTCGTTCCGAAGGATAGTTAGTGGTTTCACATAAACGTTTTGCTTGTGTTCCATTACAGGGGTCGCTGATAAATTCCCTAAAGCTGTCTGGGCCCACATCAGCCTCTGGTCAGTTGTCATCCAGTGATAAAGCTTCAGGTAAGTTTGCATTTGTGTTTTAGGGAAAATAAAGGTGAAAGGAATGCCCACAATAGAGTTTATTGTTCTAGCCCCAGTGACAGTCCACATAGGCAATCAAATAAAGAGATATTCAAAAGGCCTCAGTTCATGGAAGAATCGCCCAGAAATGAGCCCTTCAACAGCTCTGTAGACTTCTGAAATTTGAAAGCAATAGGCGAAAACCTTCCCTTCAATGTTTTTCCTAAAAAGGAGCAGTGGGGTGTTGTCCTCACCTGCCTCGCTGGACGATCCTTGGGAGAGGAGCGGATCGGACACTGAACTCTCTTATTTCTTCTGCTACAAGGAATGAAAAGTTCCCTCGGTTCACAATGACAATTCAAAAGCCGGTCAAATACAAAAAGTAAAACGATCTGTTCCAATATAAGATTTCAAAGTAGATGTAATGTCAATATTAAAAGATTTTTATGGCTTCGCGTACTTTCAGCCCTTACTCATGCAGAGAAATTAACTGAAATTGGTTTTTACAGTCACCGTAATTGCTTTGACCAGGCAGTCACTTTGCCCAAGCCAGCTTACGGCAGAAGCTTGCTTTTATGTATAACCTAACTCTGCTGTGGGGTCTTCCTCAGCATCCCTTTCATTGGCCCCTTCCTTGTAAGCACACTTTATTTGGCATTGTTACTTTCTGCTTCAGGGACCTTGGGCCATCTGCAGTCCTGCGTTTTCACCCCACTCTGGACTCCGGCTTTTATTCCAATTGATGTTTTCAAGTGGGTTCTTCCAGCTAATTCCGTTAGAGATGCTGAAACTTCATATATTGGCAACCCACTTTCCATAACCTCTCCTCAGTCCTACAGTCATCTAGCTTTCTGATTGGAAGTTGGGTTTATCCTCACTAAATATTCCTTATCCGCAGAGGAAAAACAGTATTGCGTAAGCCAAAGCTGTATTCTAGAATTCGGATTAAAGCAGAAGTGCAGGTGTTATCACGTAAGCCTTACTTGAGAAGGAGGTATATAGCTCTTTTTAGGATTCAAATTAAGAAATTTGTTTCTATTTATGGCTAATATTTTATTCCTTTTTTTAAATTTTTCAATTACAGTTGGCATACAGTGTTGTATTAGTTTCAGTTGTTCTGGTTAATATTTTAGAAAAAAGTTTTGAAAGAGCCTATATTCTAACTTCTTTCATGGACTTCACTGGAGAATTTTTGTCATTTCTAAAGTGAAGAGGCAAGGAATTCTAAGGGACTTTGCTTGATGCGTGTCTTATGCTATTAGCATGACTTATAAAGAAGTTTTTAAGATTCCTTGTTCAGCGTTGATTATGAAATATCTCTTTTATTGCTGGGTGTTTACTTCTGTATTCATTTGCTGTAATTGAAAGAAAAAGACATTTCAGGGATGTAGGAAATTTTCCCTGAGAAATACCACTTAAGAATTTACCAAAAATTTCTTTAAAAAAATAAAAGTCTATCTGAAACCTCTGTAGAATAGTTCGCTTATTAATTAATAATGGAAATACCTTCATTGTTTTACTGATTATAAAACTATTACAGGTCCACAAAAGAGTCTTGCCGTCAAGATAGGTAACGTAGAAAGTGGAAGCTGCCCGATAAGTCCCATATTCCAGAGACAATGACCCTCAATGATTTGATATATATCTCTTGAGGTTATGTCATTGTTGTTTTTCAAACAAAAATAGGCGTATCCTATATTTATTGACTTACATATAATCTGTTTCTCCTTTACCCTCTTATAATAATTCTCCTGTTCATCTTCCAAACTCTGGTTCGGCTCTCCCTCATTTTAATGGAAGCCTAGGACTTCCTTTGACACTTGTACTCTGTTAAGTTTTACCAGCACTCTGCTGACAGTTTGGCTTGTTTCTGGTTTTTCAAGGTTATAAGCAATACTGCATTGAATATCTTTGTACATACCACATTGTATTATAGTAGTTTTAAAAATAATTATACTAATATTTACCCCATACTCACTTAAGAAGAAGGTACCTTTTTTTTTTGTTTGGTTTGGGCTTTTCTAAATGCAGTTTTCTCATTCTCCGCCCTCCTTTAAAAGTAGAGCAGTAAGGGAAAGGTTGAAGATAATATCCCAAGCTGTTAATAAGCAGTTACAGTGAGGTTGAATGTGGGGAGGATGATGGATTGCGCTTCTAACTTTTCTACACTTCTCTGTATTACAGCCATCATGTATTACCTCCATAATTTAAAAAAAAAAAAAAAGGAAACTACAATTTTAAGTACCAAAAGAAAAAAAATTTCGGAAAATACAGAAATGTAGGGAGAAAGTAAATAGCCATGAAGTCACTACTCAGAGATATTTAGTTAATGTAACTCTTTGGAGTTTTTTTTCCTTTGGTGTGTATTTTTAATAATTATAAAGCTACTTTTAAAGCTTTGAATTCTAACTGCACTGGAATTATTTTGATCTCGATCCTGGAAAGGAGGGTGCGGCATGTCTTGGTTTGGAAGTAACACTGACAGACCCAAAGGGCAAGTTCAGAGACCTCGAGCCTGAGTTAGGCAGCATGCGGGCTCCCCGTGGCTGTTGGCGTGGTGCGGCGTGCGCGTGAGGCCCACAGGCCTGGGGCCGCGCTCCGTGCAACACCAAAATCGGTGCTGCAGGACGAACGGACTGGAACGGTGTTTCAGCTGTCTTTTTGGTAACGTTCTTATTTCTTTTTTTCCGTAATTTCAGGGCCAGGGGCAACGAAGATAGAAACAGCTGTGACTTCTACCCCGTCTGCTGCTGGGCAGTTCAGCAAGCCTTTCTCATTTTCTTCATCAGGGTCAGTAATGAACTTAAATTTGTGGCAGATCGCTAGCAACCGTATAGGCAGCTTCCCCAAATCTTACAGTCACTAGCTATGTTTATATGCTTATCCGATGTCCACCAACCCAGCATCCTTATCCCTGCAATAACACATCTGGTCATAGTGGCCGTAGCTTAATGTCCCAGTGTGACTCTTTTTCCCCTTTGCAGCTCAAGCTTATGCATGTGTTATTACATACTCGTTTATTTGTTGGCTAAGCCTCATTTTCTTTGGATAGGGCGGGTCTGTCAAATTATGTATTTGATCTGCTTTCCCATACTGACATTTTCATTCTGACACCGGGGCTAGCCGTGACATTTGCATTGGCTTTACTGCGCTGAGAGGTCAGTGCACTGAACTTCTGAGAGAAGGTGCTGAATTCACCACGGAGGCAGAGTGCTCGTGTCGGAACCTGCGAAGGTTGCCCAGGTGGCCGCCGCCTTCCGAGATGGAGTTGGACTCTGTGTGGCTGAGACAAAAACTTGCCCAGAGACTTTAGCCATTGAGAGCTGTGCTTTCAGCTCCATTAGAAAAGCCTCTTAAGCTCCTTCAGTTTGTACTTTTGTAACTGGAACCATCTTGGCCACGATCTCTTTCCTCTGATGTTAATATGTTTCTTGAGCATCCTTCAGGCCAAACATGTTAAAAGAGGGTGTTAGAAGAGAATTCGAGGGGGAAATTATATGTATGTTTTTTTCATTATTGTGAATCATATTTTATACTTTCCAAAGGGAGTTTGGAACAAGTTTTAAAGAGTAGGTCAGTGCCAATATTGTATCTTTTAAAAGCACTGCTATTAATCTTTACTTCTGTGAACTGATAATCTTCCTGTTTTTAAAATAAGCTAAAAAAGTTTGTCATTGGGTCAGTGGCTTACCTCTATTAGATAAAATTTCTTCACCAAGATTGAGACAAAGAAGGTTTGTTTTTTTAATATGATAAAGTGTTTAACACATCGTTTTAGATGGTCTTAGTCTATTTGACGAAGGCAGTGATGGGTTAAAAAAGTCTGAATCCTTACAGTACTTATTACGTTTGATATGTTTGGTCCCTTATATTTCAAAGCTATCGTTTTAAATTTGTTATTCGAGCTTTTGCCATAGTGAACAGTCTATTCTGGTTCACATTCGTGCTGAATTTTCTCGAAACTTTGGCTGTGGCGACTTTACCCACAGTGTGAAGAGAGCGCACAGGAGGAGAGAGGAAGTGATAAAAGGGGTCAGAAAGGTTCTCGAACCGAACTGCCCCTGCCCGGAACGAAGCATTGAGTTGAAACGGCAGCGACGGGCTTCTGTTTCATGCTCTTCCTCCTCGCCCCTCGTGGCGTGGCGCTGTCCTGCCGTGCTCGTCGATGTGGGGGGCGTTCTGAGACATCCCCTAGTCCAGCTTGTCTTGTCCCCATCGTCAGGCACAGCACTGCTCTCGCCATCATTCCCACGTGCACATTCCTGGTGGTTTCTACGTCTCCTTTGCCTTCGTTGGCATAGGCCCCCCCCACACCTCCACCATAGAGGCCCAGCCGCCCAGCCAGGGCCTTCCCAGCCGCTGCTCCCTCCTTACCACCCCCGCAGACACCCTTCCCTGCTTAGAAATCACCGAGTGGCTTTCCTGCCTCTCGCACAAGGGCATTCGCTCTGTTGCCTGTCTCCTAGATCGTAAGTTCCTCGAGAGCAGATGGCGTGAATGAATTATGAAACGTAACGCTGACAGGCACCATCGTGCCTGCAGTTCGCTCCCTTTTGACTTCTCTTCCTCCTCTCCCCAGGTCTGGCTTTAATTTCGGGATACTCACACCAACGCCGTCTTCTAATTTCACTGTCACACAAGGTACAGTCTGCACTGCGTAGCATGACTTTGTGTTCCCCCCAGACAGGCACAGGTCCTTTTTGTACAGACATGGCGTTTTACTTGCTGCCGAGTCTCTCTTAAAGCGTCTACAATAAATTGCTGCTGTTATGTTGCATCAGGAATAGGCTGGATTTCAGAAACCATTGGGAAGGACTTCTGTCTCTCTTCATAATTAGAAACAAGGGATTTTTTTCATAAGCGCCTTCCAGTTTTCAGTTTAAGTAATTAAGTTTGTTTTCCTTTTAAAAAGAAAGCTTTTGTAAGAAGTAACATGCCCTAGCCTCACACTCGTACCCTCGGCTATTACCACGGCAATTGTTATAGTTCCTTCTGAGGGTTCTGTTTTCCACTTTATTTCATTTAGCGCCATCTCATGTGAATTTTCCAGTATTATTGAAAATCTTATGTAAAAGTCGTTTTTTATGGCTGCATAATTTCTGTCTTCTTGGAATGCTATAATTTATTTAACTACCTTTTGGACATTTATGTTATTCCCCAGTTCTCTGTATAATAACACGATGAGCATCTTTCACCTATCCATTTAACACATATTTTTCAAGTGCTTTCTGTGTGTTAGCCCAAGTGGCAGACACACAGAGAGAGATGAGGGAGTTGAAAGCGTAGCAGACCTCCTAGACCTGATCCATGTGGCCTTAGAGTGTTGTCGATTTGATTCCTTCTTTTTGGAACAGTGATTCTTAAACTTTCTTTTTAACCTCTGCCCACTTGGATGTGGTGGAATGAATACCTTCGAGGCCCACCTCCTTCCCATTTCACTTTCTGGAGGAAAAACAACTCAGTGATATAAAAAGATTAGAGAGGAACAAAATAATTGTCAAAAATCGTAAATAAAAGTAATAAAATACAATAGCAATTCTATAAACATTTTTATTAATATGAGAATAGGCAACAATCCAAGACCATAAGGAACTCGATACAACACCAGTGATACAGAGGTCTTTCTGGAAATTACACACAGATAGTAGGGGCTTTGCAGTGTTCCCAGGAGTTTGTGACAGCCAGACTTCTTAAAACAATATGGGGTTAGGAAAATCAGTAAACACTTGCAATAGACTAATTTTCGTTTATAAATATCAAATTTTAGTTAGGCTTATTTATTGACCACTTATTGTTTGACCCGGCCTTGCCTTGAGTGCTTTACCTATATTTTATTTAATCTTTCTAACAACTCTATGAGGTGGGTACTGTTATTATCTCTGTTTTCCAAATGGGGACCTTGAAGCCTAGAGAGGTCAAGTAACTTTTCCAGAGTCGCACAGCCAGCAAATCTAGAGCCCAGGTGCCTGACCAGTGGTCCTCCTGCCTCTCAAACCACTGACTGAGGAGAACACTAGGGCATCATCCTTAATTGTATGTGAAAATCATTGTCTTTGGATTGACACTCCCTTTGTCCATTAAAAAACCATGGGGAAAACTTCCATTTTGGATCAGTTCCTGGCCCATCAGGAGGTCACTAGGCCAGCCCTGGGCCAAGAACGTTAATGCAGAAGGCACACGCAGGCCGTAGGGAAGAGGCCTTTCCGTGTCTCTTTGGGATGATGGGTCGATTTCACGCATCCTAGATAAGGCGTATTTGTTGTCATAAAGAGTAGTTGTCCTTTTACCTCCGTGCGATGACTCAGGCCAAGCAACGTCCCCTTAGAGAAGCGTTAGTTCTGTCATCCCCACAGACAACAAGCCATGTCCGACCACACCGAGGGCGCAGGGGGGCTTCGGCGCCATAGGCGGTGGCGATGTGACAGGTCATCGGCCAAACCCAGGCCACCCTAACCTCTCCTTCTTACCAGGGGCCACACCACCTGCTAAAGAGTCCAGCCAGCTCGACGCGTTCTCCTTTGGCGGGGGAGGCCGACCCTGCCCTGAGCCCGTTCCAGAAAGCTCCTCTCCCTCAGGGGTGACGACCAGCACCAGCGGAGCTGCCACTGCTTCTCCCGGAGAGTCGGCTCCGTGGGGCAGCAGGCCCGGCGCACCTTCTGGACTGACTCTCGCCACGCCGTCCAGCAAGCCGGAAGCCCCGCCGTCCAAGCTGGGCGAGCTGCTCTTTCCCAGCTCTTCGGCTGGCGAGACTCTGGGAAGCTTTTCAGGACTGCGGGTCGGCCAAGCAGATGATGCCACCAAGCCAGCCACCAAGGCGTCGTCCGCGGGCCTCCCCAGTGCGCAGCCAGCCAAGCCTTCACTCGTCCCCTCAGCCTTTAATTTTACGGGCCCTGCGGTGCCCGGGAAGCAAGCGGAGCCCCCCGTGACTTCCTCTGTGACCGCCACCACGGCAGCAGCAGCAGCAGCAGCCACCAGTGCAAGCACGAGCAGCTTCTCAAGTGGTGTCTTTGGCAGCCTGCCCCCCACCAGCGCGGGGACCCCCGGGCTGATCAGCTTCGGCGGGGTGTCCCTAAGTGGAAGCAAGACGAGTTTTTCATTTGGAAGCCAGCCGACGAGTAGTACAGTGCCGCCATGTGCCCCACCAGCAGCCACCACTGCCACTCCCCTTCCCGCGTCATTCCCCACGTTGTCTTTTGGTGGCCTCCTGAGTTCAGCATCTGTTCCCACCCCACCTGCATCCTCTGCTAAAAGCGCAGAGGAGGCTGCATCGTCATCTTTGCCCGAGAAACCAGGCACCAGTGAGGTCTCGGCGTCAACGGCCTCGCTTCTGGGGCAGCAGCAGGCCGCCCCGCCCCCCCAGGCCCCTCTGCCGGCGTCCGACCCTGTGAGCAAAGACCCCACTTCGGTCCAGCCGGTGGCCAGCGGGCCCAGCACCATGGCATCTAGTGCCAGTCTTCTCGCGCCTGCCACAGAGGCCGCGTCAGCAGCCGCCGCGGTCCCTGATGGCAAGACAGAGCCGGCATCTCCTGCTTCCACCCTTCCAGTGCCCGGGCAGACTGCTGTCACGGCAGCTACGACCCCAAGTGCAGTCCCTGTGACCGCGGAAACAGAGGGTCCCCCCACCACCTCTGCTGCTGTTTCCAGCGTTGCTCCGAGCCCAGCTACAGAGACGGCAGTGTTCGGGACTGTCACTTCTGGCTCCTCTGTCTTTACTCAGCCACCTGCTGCCAGTTCTAGCTCAGCTTTCAGCCAGCTCACCAGCAGCACAGCCACTGCCCCCTCTGCCACCCCCATGTTTGGGCAGATGGCAGCCAGCACCGCACCAAGCCTCTTTGAGCAGCAGACAAGCAGCATAGCTAGCACGGCAAGTGCCACGCCACAGGTCAGCAGCTCGGGCTTTGGCAGTCCTGCTTTTGGCGCCTCGGCCACAGGGGTCTTTGGACAGACGACCTTTGGGCAGGCCCCGGCCTTCGGGCAGTCGACAGGCAGCCCCGCGAGTGGCTTTTCCTTCAGTCAGCCTGGGTTCAGCTCCATGCCAGCTTTCGGGCAGTCCGTGGCCTCCACTTGCACGTCCACGTGTGGCAGTGTCTTTGGCGCCTCTTCCAGCACCAGTAGCGCCAGCTCTTTCTCATTCGGACAGTCTTCTGCCAACACAGGAGGGGGCATGTTTGGCCAGAGCAGCCCCCCTGCTTTCGGTCAGAGTCCTGGCTTTGGGCAAGGAGGCTCTGTATTTGGCGGCACCTCGGCCACCACCACGACAGCATCATCCTCTGGGTTTAGCTTTTGTCAAGCTTCAGGTAAGAATTTATGAAAGATTTTTACCTCGTTCTCTGTGTTGTTTGAAACATTTGCAATAGACTTGTATTACTAAGTTTAAGGTCATGGCGAATAATAACGAATAACTCATAAATAAGAAATTCTAATTCGGAAGTTACTTCAGAGGTTGTTACATCCCAAACTGTCAAGCCTCACGACGACTGAGCCGACGTCATTTAGTGCCCGTAGCAGAGCCGCAGCTACGCCCCAGAGCCCCTCACTCGGGTCCACCGCCCCGTCCGTGTGTTGTATTTCCTCTGACACCATCTCGCTTGCTAGAAGGGTACATGCCGACATTGGAAGAGTTTGGTTTTTTTCTATTTCCAATGTCGTAATTCTTTAAAAAGTCTTTAAATTTTACCATTTTTGAAAGTAAAATGTAATCCTTCCCATTGTGTATCTAATTCTAACAGCTCCTTTAACTTTGAAAAGTGAGCAATAGAACAATTCGAAAATCTTTTCGAAGTCTTGCTTTCTGATGGTTATCTAATGGATGGCAGGTTCTCAGCTATGAGGCTCTGGGAGACAACAAGGATTATTGATTTCTTGGTGGGCAGGGTTCCAGGTAACTGCTAATTCATTTCTTTGGTGATGATTTATTTGAAAACGGTTCATAATTTATCAGAAGGGAAATCTTTTCTTTCCTTCCTTTAACAGATGTCAGTTAAGCTCCCACTAGTTTGACTACAAGGCCACAGTGGCGAAAGAGTTGAGACGCACCTGATGCCGTTCGAAGAGGCCAGTTGGCCGATTTGAGTGGCGGGAATGTGATAAATCAGTCGAGAGAATGGGCAGGGGAAGGCCTCACAAGTCTTAGGAAGGAGTAGGGTATCAAACACTACCTCTGTGCGTCCGATGTTCTGCAGTCAGAATTTGAGAGTCCCTCACGCGCAGGTATAATCAAACTACTTTAACATCATTGAAAACCCCTAAGAAATCTCTCCTGTGGTAACCGCGGAAAGGCGACGGAGCGGTCTGCCCCAGCCCTGGCCGCGGAACTGAGACCCGCCCGAGCTCCCTGGCCTAGACCCACAGAAATGAGGCTGGAACAGCCGCCCTCGGACTCCTTGTCTGGGGCTCTCGTTCCAGCATCTGGTTCTGCCTGGTTTCCCCGGGCCCTGTTCAACCCAGCATTTCAGCCATGTTACGTCACGTCAAAGAAACATCAGCTGCCCTGAAACAATCTGGGGTCTGAAAATAGGAAACCGGGGAGTAGAAATATCTGTGAAGTTTAGTCGATCACTGGAAAGACTTCCTGGCAGTTAAAAGGCTAGGACAAAGCTGCTCTGAGAGTATTCCATTTTTCTGGTCCCCACCCACCCCGGGTTTGGTAGGAGACAGAATTCAGTCCTTGGGACTTTGGAATTTAAACTATTATAAAACGTTAGCAATGAATTAAAGACCTTTATTTACTCATAATTTTCTCTATTTCTTAGATTGGAAGGCAGATTTTATTCATGGGTTTCTTGTGGGATATCTTAGCACATCTGAATACCATTTTAGAAAAAAAAAAACTTCGATGTTTTTAAAAAGACTCATCCAATTTAAACTTTTGTTTTTATTTTATAGGTTTTGGGTCTAGTAATACCGGTTCTTTGTTCGGTCAAGCAGCCAGCACTGGTGGAACAGTCTTTGGTCAGGTAAGTATGTGTGTCCGCCTCTATTTATGTCAACGTATGTCAAACCCATCCACGTCATTCCTGTGTATATATGATCAGTTCACGTTGTACACCCAACCCCAGCAAACAGCTTTGTGATTCTCAAGCTCTGCCTTCTTTGGCTACCTTGGGGACGCAAAAGTCTCAGCCTCTGATTCGAATCACTACAGTTTTGATCCTTCCTTGAAAGCACTTTAAAAACACATCTCCTGATTCTCATCAGTCGGCCTGTTCTGTTAGGCCAGGGGTTGGCAAACTATGGCCCATGGGCTAAATCTACAACTTCGTTTTGTGTTTTATTTTTTGTTTTGTTGTGGTGTGGGTTTTTTTGTTGGGGTTTTTGTTTGTTTGTTTGTTTGTTTTCAGTCCTTGAGCTAAGGTGGTTACCTTCTCAAGTGGTAATTTAAACAAAAAGATGAATATGCAGCAGGAACCATATATGGTCCCTGCGCTGAACTGTGTGTGGTGCGGGAGCTTCTTTTAGTGACCTGCACCGTTTGAGGCTGTGTGGCTAGTGGTTCTCTGTGTGCTGGGCGTAGCTTTGAGTGCTTTATTCAGATGGACTCGCGTGAGCACCGATACTTCTGTAGGTGTTGCTGTTATGCTCATTTGACCGATGAGGACGCAGAAAGGTTACATTCACTGCACTTAGATCACAGTAACCGCATGAGGAGCCCTTCCAAGGACAGGGACTCTGATGTGTCAGCAGTGATCCCGGCTTTCTGAAGGTGGGGCTGGGATTTGTCCAGTAGCTAATGAACTGGGAGGCGCGTTCTTTGTGTCTGACACACCTTCAGTAGCAGATCTTCTTTATCATCTTTCTCCTTGGAATGTGGGCTCTGCCCTAGTCAGCAATCCTTGGTAGAGAAAAATGAAACTTCTGATTTCCAGCGTTCGGTGAGGCCAGGTTAGATCACTTAAACCAAGTTCCCTGCTGAAAACAGCTAAAAAGGCTAAATAAAACACAAAAACCACAGTGTTAAAAGCACTGATAAGCTAACAGGGTGTTTCGCCAAAGCCACGTTAAAAAGGAAAACAGGAACTCATGGAAGTGAGTGGGCACAAAAGCCACGTTGCCCTGCGAGCGTTTACTAATCTAGGAAAATTTGAATTTCCTGTTTTAACACCCCGAAAGGGCAGAGGGGCAGAAATCACTAACCAAGATACACACACAGTGAGAGATCCTCTCCACGACAAGGTGGGCCTCCAGATTCACCTGCCTCGGCCCGTGGACGTGGCCCAACGTGATCCTTGGATGCCGGCGTCTGCAGGTGGCTGGCAGAAGCAGCTCCGACACTCTGAAGAAAGAAACCGTACTCTCGGCCTCAATAATTCTTTTTAAATTAAAATATGTTCTTAGTTTCGGGTGTACAACATAGTGATTCAGCGTTAGTATATCTCATGACGTGTCCACGGCACGAAGTCTAGAAACCATCTGTCACTGTGCATACTTCTCACACTGTTATTGACTGTAGTCCCCTTCACCTCAAATAATTTTTAGGGTCATCAATTCCCACACCTCAATAAGTCACAGAAGGAGACAAGAAACTATGACCAAGAGCCAGTATAAACATCAGACAGACATACATTTGCAGAAACTTCCTAGACTATAAAAAAGCTGTTTTACCTGTTTAAAAGAAAGAAAAGACAAACTTGAAAATACCAGTAAAGACTAGGAAATTGTAAGAAATGTCATAGCTTTGAAAAAGAAAGAAATAGAACTTTCAAAGAAATATAATAATTAAAATTTTGAATCAATAAATTAGTCCCAGGTAAAGAGAACAGTAATATACTAGACCAGGAATCAGCAAACTTTTTCTATAAAGAGCCAGATAATAAATATTTTAGATCTTAAGAGCAAGAGCACAGTGATATTCCCATAAGGCGTTATTTACAAAAACAGGCTGGATTTAGCCCGTGGACTGTAGTTGGCTAGCCCTTGAACTAGAAGGTTAGTCAGACTAAGTTACCAGG